CGCGGGGGTGGTAGGAATGAAGACCGTTGCACGCTCATCTGAATAAGGTAGTTCTGCAACCGTTCTACTTCTTGCCTTAGTCTGGCTATTGCATCGGGCTGTCGCTCTTGTGGCTGCATGTCCACGACCGGTTTCTTTGGAGCCTCCATTTGAGGAAGTTCTCGGGGGGCTGGGTTGGCGACGGCAGGAGGTTGAGGTGCCGAAGCGCGGTTGAATCGGCTTGATTCCTGTACCGTGGACATTCGCCTCGATGCTGGTTCGGGTGGACTTATCCCTCGACCAGGAGACTTGCTCTCAGAGGTCCCCAGGTCCGTAGAATGGGGTTGTTTGTGTGAAATAAGATGAGAAGAGGAAAATTACTATTGTTTTTTTGCGTTTTTTTTTAAATCCCGGAACAGCCCCCAAATGTAGTGAAAAGGTGGCCTACACTGTTACTACGATAGATCCCTAGGTTAGACAGAACAGGTGCACACGCTACTATCTCGCTCATAAACCCATGATTCTCGCTGAAAACACTAATAAACACCGCTAACAACCAAATATATGATCGAAGTCCTATTATTGTTCCCCAAGGAAAACCCAGAATAATAGAACTGATCCCCGACCCTCGCCTAGGGCGTGGGCCAGGGTAGCAGCAACAGCCTCGCACCCAGCCCCAAGCTGGTGCCGGCTGGCGACCACTCTGATCCTATGAAGTGTCTTCCCTATCTAAAAGTGTCCTAATCTCCCTAATCTCTGAAATATTCTACAATACTCGTTTCTTTTCCTGATTTTAGGCCTCTAGAGGTCACACCAAAGCTCCATTGTAGTGCCTGTGCACTGCAGCGAAGAACAAGGCGCAGCAAGCATGCCGATACGTCTTGCTGCTTCTGCTGCTGTGCTCCCTGCCGTAACCCAAATCTGACTTTGCCTTGAAAATTTCATCATCCCATTAAAGTAAGCCTCGAAGGATTTCTCACTTGGGGGCCCCAATCCTAGGGGGCCGTCACCAGGGGGCTCCCCCTCACCTGGGTAACCCCCAACTGCAAGCCACAAAGTGAATAAACTGAGACGAAATGGAGTGAGCCAAATAGCCACGGAGCAACCAGACAGGCAGACGTGCATCAACGGGCGCGGAGAAGCGTATGAAGGATAAGCAAGAATAGAGAAAGGCAAAAGCAGAAGAGAAGGGGACATGCGATTGAACTGTGGTGTGCGGCAATGGGAACGCAACGCGAAATGAATAGAAACAAAGGTAAAAGGGGAGGAATATGTGAAAGGCCCAACTCCACAGATATGGAAGGGGAAACGGAGGCGTAAGCAGGAATAACCACGGTGACAGAACATAAAGCAGGAGGAGATAGGCACAGCCAGGCAACCGAGAGATAGTTCTGTTGCCGGCGGGATAGCTGCCTGGGGGCCCATCAAGAGGATCTCCCGCCTCTTGAAGAAGCGGTGTCTGCTGCTAGCCACCTACCCTACTACTTTATTGCTGTGTCTGTTACACTTGAGCGTCTGCTGAGACCCCGATTGTGTTGATTAGGTTGTGGTTGCCGGCTCAGGTACCTCCTACTCCTTTAGGAACTCCGTCCTGCTTCCCCGGCGGAAGGCAGTTGTGGAGTGCTGATTTTGGTATCATTTCTCAAGCATTATCTGCTACTGCGCGTCAATCAGTGCTTAGTTGTCCTTCAATGATCCTAGCTCTCGCTTGACGAACAAAAGCTACTCTAGGTGTAGCAAGCTTCTCTCCCCCCGAATGCTCATATTAGCGGGGAGTTTTGGCACCTTCATTCGCGACACGCCTCATCCTGAGAATGAAGTGTGTCTGAAGGGGTGTTCTGTTGGCCCACTAAAGTTTTAAGGGAGATGGGTTCAGAACAAGATCGGTTCATCCATCTCGGATCACTGAAATTTTGTTCATAGTTTGTGTCGAATATTGCACTAATTTTGTAATTGTTGAATATTTTTCGAATGTGAAAACTTTTTTTTATTGGAACGAACTAATGCTACAATTACTTTCTATATTTTTAATTCATTTAAAAATATCATTGTGATATATATTGGGGAATTTGCTCAGAAACCTGACTAGCGAGTCAGGAAGATAGTGGCTTACTGAAGTGACTAAGTCTGTGCCCTCAGAGAGGGCCAGCCAGATTTGTGTTGCAACTAGCTCAAAATCCTGCAGGAGGCTGCAGTGGGGAATCTTTTGCAATGAGAGCAAGCGTGGCAGTACCGCCCGGTGAAGGGCGGCAGCATGCGTAGGGGTGGAGCTTTTGCAAGCTGTAAGTACCACGCTTCTGAGCGCGCCCACCGCTGTTGGCAGTGTGGCTCTCGTGCAAAACAACAACGAGAGGCCCTTTAGTTGGGTGGAAAGGCGCCTGCCGAGATGTCATGAGCGTGGTTGAATTGGCAGGGCATGCCCTGCCCAGCTAACCACGCGAAATCAGAGCTAACAACATGCATTCTCACAGAGCCATGCTGCTAGCTGCAACAACGGCTAACTACCCATCAGCGCAATAAAAGGTCTTGTACTTCTGCCCAAGCCTCTGTCTTTGAGACCTGAGAGCAGCACCACCAACCTGCTCTGCAGTCACCTTTACCAATTAGTTTAGTGGGTTTAATATTTCAATGCATAGAATTCATTTAGATGCCTTTAGGGGCGTTATTTAGCAAACGGCGAACGTTTTATAGGGAAAGGGTTTAATGTTATCAGCTGCGGGCAACGTAGAGCGGGGTTCAAGCTAAAGGGTCGAGCGTCTACGGTTTAGGGTTTGTGCTTGCCGCTGTCTATCATCTGTTTGAGGGAAGGGTTTTCCGCTGTTGCTCGAACTCTTTCTTTGTCGCTCAGTTGTTTGTTAATGGAGGCGTAGGAGGTGTGAGAGCCCGGAATGGTTGAAACTTGGACAGCTCTTGTTGCAGTTGCTGCTGCTCCTGCTGCTGCCCGCTGCGCCTTCACGAGCAACAGCAATCCGATGAGCGTTGTCTACAAACCCAGCAGTAGCAAAAGCAGCACAGGCAGCAGCCACACCAGTAGCAAGTGAAGCAGCGGACGAAACAACAGCATGTGCCACAGCGAAATCAGCAGCAGCAGGCGTAGCAGCAAAAGCAGCGTCATACACAACACACAATAATCACAGCCAGCTCGACATTCAGGCAACACAGGATGGTCTTAAGGTGTGCAGGCAGCAGTAGAAGCAGCAACAGCAGCAGCAAGAAACAGAGCGAAACCTTTCACTTCAGAGCAATGAGGTATTGTCGGGCGGAAGTTAATATCCACACGCAAGCCTCGCATCCTTCTCCAGTGCTGCATCTGCAGCTGCTGCTGTAGCTGTTGGTGCTGCATGCAGGAGTAGCTGCTCCTGCCTTTGGCATTGGCCGAGCCGCTGTCGCTGCTGCTGTCGTTGCTGTAGCAGGAGCACGGCACTTTGACGTACTCTGGAAGCACCACCATCAGTTCTTCGAGGGTATACGGGTATTCAGGGTCAGTTATGCACCTCACTGCTGCATACACCTCCTGTAGCACAATGCAGAGGCTACAGCAAACACGTAGCAGCTGCTGCTGTAGCGGTAGCTCCTGCAATACCGCGGCTCCAGCGGTATCTGTAGCAACAACAGGGCATCATGGCCCAGTAATAGCAAATGCAGAAGCAGCAGCAGCAACTGCTGTTGCTGCTTCAGCCGCACGAAGCGTCTTGCTGCTGCAGCGGCTGCTGCAGCAGCAGTCTAACCCCCTGTGAACTGCAGCAAAATGGATGTTTACCTGTGCGGTCAAAATCTCATTCCGAGCAAACAACCGCGCTCGTCTTTGATAAATCAGATGCACTGCGTTGTTGCTGGTACTGCTACCCCTGCTGCAGCTGTTTCTGCTGCCGCTGTTGCTGCTGCACTCTTTGATGTCGATACAGCAGGTGGTGGCTTTGCTGCAGTCTGCAGTAGAATGTAGAACATCTGGAAGCTGCTCGTTGGCAGCAGCAGGCACTGCTGCTGGTGTTGTTGCCGCAAGCGCTTCGGATGCTAGAGGTGCTTCTTTCGTCCGACCTGTCTCTTCAGCTGCTGCTGGACCTGGGTGGTTTTCTCTCGCGTTTGGTGCTTGTTCAGCTCCAGAAGTTGTTAGTATTGCCAGAGGCGTTAGGTGGCGCTGGGCGCATTGCTCGTAGGTGTACGCAGCAAGGAGAGAGTTATTCATGAGTTGACTGTCCTTCAGCAGCTGCATGCGCTCCTCCAGCAGCAGGTGATTGATTTGCTGCTGCTGCCAGCAAAGGTCCTTGTTGCCCAGCCAACGCCGGCTACAGAACACCTCGGGCAGGGGACGTTCAGCGTGCAGCAGCAGCTGCTGCTGTTGCTGCAAGAGGGGGCTCCACTGGGGTTTCGAGAAGTGCAAAGCTGCAAAGATGTCTGGGCTGTACCGACTGCCTAAGCTGGCGTCGTGCACCCGCTGCACCTGACGGGTTGGATTATTACCTTCGGCCCCCATTTTCCCTCATTTCTTTCTAATTTGTCCAGTCTACAGACTTTCTACCTCCGAAACTCGGGAAGATATGTGGAAAACCTGGGAAGAGAAACTGTGGGCCTTTGCTGACGCATGCAAGTGGCTGTGGCAAGCATGCAAGATGGGATAATCATCAGCATCACCTGGGTGGCACATTGCGATGGAGGGGATAATTACCTGTTGGTCCCTTGCTCACATTTAGACGACTTTGCACAGTTAAAGACAACAGAGGAATAAAGTGAACCGTCACACTAGCTGTATTCTTACCTCAGCCTCCAACGTGACCACTGGTTTAAACAGTATCGGTACCGCTGTGCGTGTACTTCGCCCTGGTAACTAGCTACGGCCAAATTGCACCACTGACGATAATAACGTTGTTATGGCATCTGGCCACTGGAGGGGAGGAAATTATCTGCTCTTTGATGAAAAATCATTTTTAGCTTTCGGCTTAGTGTAGCTCGCTGCTATCTTTAGCTACTAGTGATCGAAAGATTCGCTTCAGCAACACTTTGTGCTTGGCCCAATCAATTAGCCCGTCCTGGAGGGTCTCACCGCGGAGAGAGACCCAAGGGAAGTAAACGCCGCGTCTCAAAACAGGTGCTGCTCTTCCTGCTGCTGCAGTTACTACTACTGCTACTTCTACTGCTCTTGCTGGTGCGGAAGAACTTGGGCAGGGCTTCATATTGCAGTGCCCCCCCCAACGTTTTGAAGACGGCTGCGGCTCCTGGAGGTCCTCCACGACCCATCTACTGCTTGCAAATATAACCAAGGATTCACGCGCCATTTAATTTTCTAGAGTTCAACTCGTTAACAAGAACAGAGATGGCTTCCTTCCCCACTATACTGAGCGCACCGAGGCGGCGTCATCTACAGACCTAAGTGGGTATATCAGGATGGCACAGATGGGCATCACCCGAACTCTGGCTGCTGCATCAGGTTTCCACCTAAAACAATTATTTATTATTGCATTCGTTGTTTCAAACGCCTTTTGGATGTTCCTGTCTGCACCCCGAGGCATGGCAAAGGTGCCCCTGTGGAGCACTACAAATCTTATCTACAGTTTCCACCTCTCAAGAATCCAAGGCTGCGAGGGGAATCTTCCCCAATCTGCAGCCGGCCGGTGCTGTCTGCTTGCAGTAAGCATTACACTAGCAACGGAGGTGCCTATGCTTCGTACCAGTTTCCGCAAGAGCGTCCGTAAAAGTTACTCTTTGTCGTTGGTCTTATCATCCTCCGATTCCATGTGGCATTATGTAGTTAGTGGTTAACAGCAGCCAGCCGCACATTTTTGCCCTTTTTTTAGTCGTGATGGGTCTCCAAAAAAGGTATCCAAAATGATCGCGAGGTTCGTGAAGCTGCTGTGGCAACTGCACTTTGCAGTGCTCCTGGCAGCAACTGCGTGTGCCGCACTCTGCTTCTTGCTGCCAATTTTCGACTACTTGGAGCGGCAAGCATTGATTGTTGTTGCCATCCAAACAACGTGCGCTTTCCAGCTATCACCAACGTTCCGGTGCATACGATTTGTTAATTCCAACAGTCTACAGAAGGCTGAATCAATAGTTTGTGTCCACGCGTGTTTCAAGAAAGGTTTAGGCTGCACCCCTGGATTCGTAGTAGCTTTACACCCCGCGCAGTGCCCTTTAGTTGCTGCCGGGGCAGCTACTTCCGAATAGCACTAAAATATTGTTGCTCCTTCTGAACTAGATACACATGCTCGTTTAGGGATGGTTGCCTGCATTTGGCCCACTCCGCGGCAGGGGATGTTAGTGTAATTGTATCCTCTCCGCTTAGTAAAGCTTGAAGGAAACAAATGCGTGAAGTTTAGATCCTGCAGAATTTCAATTATCTGTGTATCTTGCAGGTGCACTTGCAACCGGTGCGGTGACTGTTGCTGACGGTCTTATTGCGGCAGGCGCTGCTGCTACTTATGCTACTGCTGCTGAAGCAGCTGCTGGTGGTGCTTTTGCTGTTGTCGCTGCTGCTGCTTCTTTGCCCTTTGCCGTTTCGCTACCTGTGGATGGCTTTGAGGGCTACCTTGGCACATGCCCTAGTTGGGGATGTATTGAGGGGTGCGAGGAAGTGGCACCCTTTGTTCCCTCCCGAGTTGCTCGTTGTCCAACTCCTGAAACGCGCATGAGTGGCAGCTTTGGGGTTTCACTCGAATAGGCAATAGAAGAAATGCAAGCTTTTCTTCTAGTGCCTATTGGAGTCTTCCGTGGGGCTGCAGGTGAGCTGCTGGTGCTGCAGCAACTGGTTGGCTGCTGCTCCTGTAGGCGCCGCAGCTGAGCGATTTTTGGTGAGGGATTCACCGACGGAAGCGGCCAAGAAAGCATTTGCTTCCGTTAGGCCTACAGGGTTTTAGGGTTTAGGGTTAAGGGTTTAGCGTTTTAGGGTTTTAGGGTTGAGGGTTTTAGGGTTTAGGGTTAAGGGTTTTGGGGTTTATGGTTTAGAGTTGACGGGCGTTATGGTTTAGGGTCTTAGGGTTCAGGGTTTTAGGGTTTAGGGTTTTAGGGTCTAGGCATTAGCCAATGAAAGCTGAGGATGCCGTTGCTGCAGCGCCGCAGCGTATGCCTGTCATCACGGAAGGAGGGGGCTCGCACAGTACTGCATATCCAGCAGCAGCACCAGCACCAGCGGCTCAGCAACACCACTGTCAGAAACCTGAGCCTGACCGCTTGGGCCCGCAAGAGGCAACGGACAACCTGGGACGCACGGTGAGGCGTCAGCCAAATCCATAACGAGAGCAGCAGCAGCAGCAACAGCAGCAGTCAGGATTATCTGGGTTGTACTCCTTTTGCTGCTGCCACTGCTGCTCATGAGGCTCACGCGCGTGATCCTGTTTGTGCTGCTGTTAATATCGCCATACTTGTGCTCTTTCTACTGCTGCAAGCCGTCTCTCTCTCTCTCTCTCTCCTGCTGCTGCTGCTGCTTCCGCTGATGACCGAGCTGCTGCTGCTGCTCTGTACACTGAAGTGACAGCTCATTTTGTATCTCCGCATTTCCAAACGAACGAGCAGAAGCAGCAACAACCGCAACAATAGCTGCTGCAACTGCAGCTACAGCAACAGGAAGAGCAGCAGCAGGAATAACAACAGCTGCAGCATCCGCAGCATTGTTGCGTTGGCGCTGTGTGCAGGTTCTGGTGCGATATTTCCTAGTGTTTGCGCAAGGACACAAGCCTAATTGGATCATGTTAACGGCCGCAATCACAACCGGCTTCTTGGTTAGTATTCTTTCTGCGTTTTCTTACATGCCGGGCTGTCCCCAGGTGTCTGTGCAGATCATTTGCGTCTTCAGGGAGTTTCATCTTTATGTCTACTATTTTTTTATTGGGGAGCCGTGGCCTTGTTATTTGCTGCAGGACGCATTGTTGGCGCTGCTGTCTGCTGTTGCGTCGCTGGTGTATGTACACAGGAATGAGTATGTGCGTGGAGCGGATGCCCTTGGCTTGCGCTAAGGCCAAGCTGCAGGCAGCACGGCAGCCGGCGGGGACTGGGTGGGAGCCCCCAAACCCAAAGACGAAAGAGGATGCGCCTGTAACGCAGGGGCAGTAGCAGCGGGGAGGAGGCGCTCAGGGAACATCAGAGGGATTCGGGGCCCTTGCTCGCGGCGCAGGAGCAGAAGGGGGGCTGCGGAGGCGAAAGATGAATTTGAAAGGGTCAGGCGACGCCTAGAAGAAATCCAGAGGGAGTAAGAACTGACGAAGCAGGGCA